AACATCCTTAAGACTGGCTACTGTATATCCAAAAAATGCCTATTTTCACTATAACAACTTCCAAGATGTCCTAGTCTAATAACTATAATGATTAATTACAATAATAATAATTATTATTAGCATTACTTTTATGAGGGACAGTAACCACTTTGAATGTAGTCTGGGTCTGTTGTGACTCTAGTTTTCTTATTATTGTACTGTTTCATTTTTACATGACCTTTGGTCCAATTCTTGTTTATGGAAACTCATCTTGATTTGTATCACTACAATTGACTGTTATTGAATTTGTGCATTTTATCAAATATTGTATTCACATTTTCACAATTGCTTCCAGTTAAGACTGGAAGGGCCAATTCCCGGTCTTCACCTTTTTTTTGGTAGCGCTTTTAGCTCGCTGCATAGCTGTGCGCCTCAACACATAATGAGTTCATAAGTTGATGAAAATTTGTCCCGCTTCCGTACCGAGCAAAAGAGCTGAAAACATCCCTCCTACAACCACAATTAGAAACAGGCCGATGCTCCCTCTTTATATTTAACATTCTTCCCAACTGCATTGACACTATTCTACATGAGAGGACATTATGTATAATGTATATATATACACTGATGGCTCTAAAAACCCTGATTATGGTCAAATAAGTTGTCCCAGAATTGAAAGTTAATTTAAAGACTGACTATATAGCAGTAGGACTATACTCAGTTGAAATTATGGCAATTTTTCTTTGCTCTACAGTGGATAGAGGAAATCAAGCCTCTTCAAATTCTAATATGCTCAGACTCAATTGCAGCCTTCTAGATGAAGACAGGATATTCTTTCTGAGATATTGCATTGGCTTAGGAACTGATGTTTACATGAAATCTAGACGCAGAGGTTGTGGGATGGAGATATTATATTTGTATCAGATCCAACAAGAAGTCGGAGTGGAAAGGTCACCTGGGAGAAGCAGAACAGAATATGTGATTATCAGGGCTATACTAGGACACACTAAACTAAATTAATCTCTATGCCTCATTGGAAAGTATCCAAGCAGAAACTGTGATGTCTGCAATCAAATGGAGACTGTGGATCATGTCAGCTTTTGTTTTTCCTAATTATACAAATAAAAGATAGCTGTTAGAGAACGAGCTGGAACATGAAGGGATTAAACACATCCATTGCAAATAGTTCTGGAAATCCAGTGCTGAAACATGTCTTCACAAAACACACAGGACCAATTACAAGGATATAAGGATAAGAATTGTGTAACATTATAGTTGGTGGTGATAACGCTCTGCAGGCTTTTTGACATTACAGCAGTAGTATGTAACTTTTCGAAAAATAACTTTTTGTTATTTTTGTTGAAACTTTCACTACATCCTGACAGTTCATGAGACAGATAATATGGCTCCTCCTAGTGCTCATAATGGTATTTACAAGATTCAACTGTATCTGAGCAAAAACAACCAATCAGAGTCATCAAATACGGACGCTGTAGGAATGATAATCAACAATCAACTATCTTCAAGCCCCCAACCCAAAAAGTCAAATGATTGACCTGGGACATGAGACTCAGTGATCAATGATCTTTCTCATCCCTGATTGGTTGTTTCTTGTTCATTTAAAATAGGAAAAATGTTTTTTTTGTGTGAGTTTCCATGTATTTTATATTATGTGACTCTGTTTCTGTGCTTGTAGCTCCCCCTGTTGGAATATATTTGTTGTGCCGGTTGTGATAACCTAGAATTAATCCCATGTATGTGTGCAGGGTGTGAACTACAGGGGAGCCAGGGTGAGGAGTCTTGGAAATATGATTTATAACATTGTGTGGGGTCTCTAAAATACTGACAGTATGCTATTTTTGTCATTTCTATTTTTCTGTATCTTCATCATCATGTATCATGTGCAAAATTAGGTTTCTATTGATGTGTCATTCATTACTAATTCACTTAAAGATTTTCGCCATCACCATCACAGTGTGGTTGTGTGATATCCTAACCTTTACTCACTTCAACTCAAAGATCAGAAAAAAAAGTCCCAGTCATGCAGACTAGGAGCCGAATTGCCATTATTCCCTAAAAATAAGTGAATTTACCTGAAAGCCATGGTATAGTTGGCACGCTGTATGTGTGTATTTTCACTGTGAAATTGCCAGAATACAAGCTGATGCGAAATGGAGGAAAATGCAGAGGTTTGTCCTTTAAAAAAAAGATCCAACCACCACCTCATACCTGCTAGTGATGGGATTTCTGGTTCTTTTTCAGTGAGCCAGATCATTTGGCTCAGCTCATAAAAGAGCCAGCTCTTTGGCTCCCAAACGGCTCTTCATTTAACCACTTATACCTTTTATAGTTCAGCCAAATTTAGCACAGTTTTGACTTATGATTTGTTTGTGTACACATATATCACTTATTCAATACATCCTTTGTACTGAAGAATTCAAAAGTAAAAATTACATTTTCTAATATCAATAAATTGCTGTATCCAATAGTTTTCATTCCATTTACAGACCCATGTAACTCTCTGAAACCACCCAATGAATGCACTTGCTTGTAGAACCACTCGGCTACACAAAGCAGATAGAAACACCTATAAAAACTTAAGCATAGAAATTTAAAAAAGGGCAGCTATTGACATGTTAATTTTTTATTTAAACAAGTAAAAACTGAATTTTTTTTTAATCAAATACAGGACTTAAGTAAATGTGCTTTGTTAATGCCCACCACTGACATCTGGACCAATAAAACCAACTGAATGGAGCATGGAGATCATTATATCATTTTGCCCTGTATTACTTTACAAAGAAAACAATATCACTAATACCTGCATCTATTCATGCTCAACAGCTAAAGACAACGCAAACATGTTCTTCTGTCAGGATGCACTGAAACTCTCAGCCTTAATAACAGATGATTATCTTTATAAAAGCTACCTGCTGCAGCTCCAGAAGAAGAAGAGCGTCGATGACTCGGGCGACGCTGATTGGCTGCAGCCCTGGCGCAGGTGAACTCGCGTCACGGCCTATGTTGTAAAAGGTGGTTGGCTCCGGCTCGCGCGCGGCAGGTGCGAAAAGCTCGAGCAAAACCGAGTGAAGGCCGAAGTGAGCCTGAGATGTGTTCAGTGCTCGGACTCTGGGGATGGAGCATGGAGGACGGTACCGACGGTTCGGTTACACCTGCGGCGACCTCGGATCTGAACCCGGAGGCCCTGCTAAGGAACCGGACTGTGGTGTCCTCTGTGGATGTCACTGTAAGGGCGTTGTCGGATTAATCTGCAGTTCAGCACCCATAAAGTAAACTGATTGCCACACCTGTTACAATAGATTAGATGCTTGTAAAGTTCATGCAAATGAGCTGTAAGTAGATGAGTCCACTGTCTGGACCCTGAGCGTGCCTGTGGTCTGTGTTACACACATTATAATGTTCCTACAAACTAAAGTCATAATGTTTAGAAGTTGTGATGGTCACAATTAGCCTGCTGTGTATCTGCCTGACATTGTTCCTGCTTTACATTCTTCACTTATTTCTTCACTGAGCCACAAGAGTAAGCTCTTTCTTTCCAACAATGATAAACACACTGAGACAATAAAAGACAATTTAACACACAATGCAAAACAAACTGTACGAAGTAAGCAATTAAAAAGGCAACAGAAACTGTCTTATAATAAATCTAAACCTCCATCAATCAGTCAACAAAGATATAATTATAGTTAATCAACTCTGTTTGTTTTAAGAAAATAAAAGAATAGATAGTAGATCTAGTAACTAGTAACTTTAAGCCTTGCAGTCATTGGCTGATAAAGGAAACAGAGACATCATGTGACCGATGAGAGATCAGTTTTTTTTGGCTGTTAAACAGGAGCTTGATGTAATAAATGCACCTGAACCCACATTTTTAAAATCTATTATTGCCCCAAACTGTGTGTTCTTTGCTCTAGCTGCAGATAAGCAGTCAGATTTGCTTTGAAGGGGCTCTACAGCTTTATCCAGCCCCTGACTTGAGCCACTATAAGCATGTGTGTAATGTACTGTAGGCACTGGTCTTGTGTGAAAGCTGAGACGAAGGAAACTTGACTTAATTATAGGCTTGATAGGTAAATCTAAGTGTGGTTGTGGTCTAAATGAAGCTATGTAACACTGTATTGTACATACGGTGCGTACCAATGCAGCTTCAGTATGAAAGCCTTCCTCAGCTGCCATATTACACCTCATTGCTGCACCTCCCCAACTTACATCAATCCCGCTGATTCCTGATAACGGCGCACATGCCATCAGTTGACCCTCCTTCACCCGACTGAGGGCCACAATTAGCCAACAAAAGGTAATCTCAATCAATTTCAATTTCACCTTTTGTAGAGACGATTGAGAACACAAGGGGTTAATTATCCCTCTGCAGTATTGATTGGTGTTTCTCTCTGGCCTGTTAATTAGGGTGACTGATTTGGCACCAGGGTTGGAGTGAGAGATAAATGATAAGCGGGCGTTGGAGAGGACCGTGGAGTAATTCCTCGACGCTACTCAACAGTTTCAAGCCTCCTCTGTCGCTTTCTCTCTTTCTCTCTCTCGTGAATCTGACTGTGCCTTTAGCTGAATAATATAGGGGCAGATGATTCAGTCTTATTTTTTTCCCTTGCTAGTTATGTTTGACGAATCTGGCTTGATGGTGGCATTTTCTGTCACTCAGGCGCCTGAGCATTTGCATATCACATGCTATTTGCCTATGACAGGAAGATGTGCGGCAATACATAGTTTGTTTCTTATGTATTTTTCATGATAAGCTGCTCGCCGAAGATGGCAAAAAGGTTATTTCTCTCTTCACTGAAAGAAGATACCTCTTCAAGCTGTCTTGTTGTCGTGTCTCGTTGATGGGTGCGTGATATGGAATGAATAAAACCCAGCCGACGAAACACGTATATCCTTTTGTGGGAGCTTTCCATGAGCGCTGGGCCGCGTGCCTCCTGGCTATGCTTGGCTACACAGGTGACAGTGTGGCTTAGCTGTGAAAGTGAGGCAGGCAGAGCTGCAAGGCAAGTCTAATTGAAATCCCCTCCTATGTGAGACAGAGGAGATGGAGCTGTAAAAGGGCCTGTAATTACTGAGGCCACTAATGAGAGATAATTAGGTCATATGGCAATGTCTCTACCGGGGCTCTGCTGCGAGAGTGGTTCGGAATAAAAAGGTGGGCAAACCACGAACTCCTGTTACTCGTCGCCATTATGTACCACCATTACAAATGATCAGTTCATTAGCAGTGATAAGTTATCATTTTTAGTACCAATGGAGTGAATACTACCTAGGTCCAGGCCCCACACGAGGCACAAGTGAATTAAGCAGCTCTTTTGGCTCCCATAAACCTTTTTTTTATTTGCCCCACAATATAATTGTGCTTCATTTTCTGTCCTTGAGTAATTCACATGTAACTGTGGTTCTTCTCAACATTCACACATGGCAGACTTAATTTTAAATCAATTAACCAGTTGTTTGTGGGTGAAACAAAGAAGATGCTGGTTTGCAAGATGTATTCAGATCCTTTACTTTTGTGAAGGTAGCAGTACAACTGTATAAAAGTACTCTGTTGAAAGTAAAAATTGTAATTCGGAAACTTCACTTGAGTACAGAAGTATTATCAGTAAAATGTATTTGATTAGTGAAAGGAAAAGTACTAATTTTACAGGTGATTGGTGCTTATTAGGGCTGCAACTGACGACTATTTTCGTTATCAAGCTGATTATTTTCTGAATTAATCATTTAGTCTATAAAATGCCAGAAAAATATTCAATGTATAATAATAAACATTCCTTATGTTTTAGAGACTGAAAACAGCGTTTTTTGTAATTTGTTATCAAAATAGCTGATTAGTTTTCTGTCAACTATTTTCTGTTGTTGACTCATCGTTGCAGCTCTATTTTATATTATTGTATTTATTACTACTGGTGCAGTAATGTGTAAACAGCATTTTGCTCCTATAGTTTAAGGTGATGGAGCTAATTTGAACTACAATATTGTAGTTTAATTTGCATATTAGAGCCTTATGAGTTATCTTGAACTTTTCTTTAACTGCAAAGTAACAATGAGTCAAGTAAATGTAGAGGAGTAAATGTGGTGAAGTATAAAGTAGTATAAAATAGAAACTGAGTATTTGGTCTTGCATTTCACCGCTGTCAGTGTACCACATGAATCCCTGCAACATGTACAGTTTAATTGCGGGCTTTGATTTTGTCCGACCAATCTAGAGCGCTCAGAGTGAATTTCTCATATAACACAGTTACTGTAAATTGAGTGTAGGCGATTTCACTCTCCAGCGTCTCTGAAAATCCGAGCGAATTTGAGCCATCCTGCATAAGTGGAGCAACAAATTAGTAGCACTCTTATATTCACTAACACACATTATTCATACACTGGCCTAAACGGTTTGATGTGTTTTTTCTCTACATTTATGTCCCTTTCCCTTATTGCTCTTTAAACAGCTCTTAACTGGCACGGTTTTGTAAAAAGCCCTCGTAAATAAATGTAGACTTAACTCAGATGTCGGTGCAGTGATTATGGGCATGGGGTGGGGGGAGGCTGAGGTGCAGACTGCTTCATGTTGAACTGGTGGGACGGCATGACTAACATATGAGATGCTTCTATGATGGTCACAGTCAGAGAAGAGTGTTTATGTGGAGCTGCTGTGCATGAATGAATGATTCCTGCACACTGTGAATGTGGAATCCCGTTGAAAACGACTTTGTATACCCAGTCCCTTTACAGCTGTATTTATTGATGTTGCAATTCATGTTGCTCTGGCTGTTCAGGGAAACATTTGTACATTGTTTGGTTTACCATCTCCTTTGCAGGGCTAACGTGAAAGTTGATATTTCTAGGATTTGTTTTGTGTGCAGTGCTCAGTTTGTGGAAAACATTGATTTGTTCTTTGGTATTTTTCTTTTGACTTATCTCTGTGTCGAAAGATAAAGTTTCTCCATAACTTATACGATGTGCCGTAAGCTTACACGGTAGTGAATGTACGATCGTGTGTATGGAGGATTGAGCTCAGAGGCACACATACGTGGATGACTGCACATGTTCTTCAGACTGGATGGAGGTAAAGCGTTTAACAAAGAGGCCAGCGGCCTCCACGGAGCAGAATCAGCCATGTGTCTTTTATTATTGGAGAAACGGAAAACTAAAGTGGAGGAGTCATGGGTCCATCTTTGGAAAGCCCTAATCGGCTTCTTCAGAGCTCTTCAGGATAATGACCTATTCAGCTCGCCAACCATTTAAGTGATCTCCAGTTAATTGGGCAGGAACCTCAATCATGTCTACATTTTCCCCCCATCTGACCCCGCTCGCTTTCTATCCATTAGCAGTGTTTCTGTTCCTCACAGTCTGCAGTGTTGAAGTACAGTCTCTTAACAAAGTGTTTACAGTTCACACCACTGTTGAAACAAAATTTAGTTGGTTTTTTACAACCTTGGTCTTTCTTGCCCTTCAAGGCAAGACACACAAGCTGTTAAACCATTGCACAGCCTTTATACGAACGCCTCACTTTACTCATATTATCAAAGCTGCAGTGCCCATCCAAAGGCACAAGATGATTAACATGATAGGGAAGAAGAACAATTATAGCTTTATTTTGGACTGCAACTAAGAATTATTTGTATTATTGACTGTATTAATCGTATCTTATTTTTATTCAGTTGATTGACTTAGGCTATAAAATGTCAAAAAAGAGTGACAAATGCCATTCACAGCTTCCTTGACTTAAGATGACATCCAACCAACAGCCAGAATCTAAGAAGATATTCAGTTTACAACAATATGAAACAGAGAAAAGCAGCCATTCCTTACATTTAAGAATCCAGAACCAGATGATTTGGGACATTTTTCCTTGAATAATAAGTTAATAAGGATTAGTTATGTTGCGGAGGGTAATATCATTAGTTTTACAGCTACTTGTAGTTTTACAGCTACCTTTAAACTTCAAACTTTATTAAATATTTGTCGAGACACTTCACTCAAAAC